CCACAGGCAGTTGAAGCTGCCAGCATGATCTGAGCTTTCCCATTCCTGGAAGGCATAGATCATCTGGCAGCTTCACCTGTTGATGGGAGCATGGAATCAAAACCCTAAAAACCCTAATCCCTCCTTCCCTTCCTTCACTTTTCTTGTTCAGCCTACCCCCCCAAAGCATCTTCTCACTTTGGCAAAAGGTATTTCTACTTGTTCTATCTGTCTTAATTCCAAGTACCTTCCTGTATAATCCCCCCCTTCTCTTGTGCGTCTATATGTATACATGTACGTGCTTGTTTTCTTTTTGTTGATTTAGACATTGAAAGAATTTCGATAACTCATCTTTTAATTTAATTAATATTTGATTGCTGCCTGCGTTCCTTCTTTAATGTGGAAAATCTTGTATATTAGCAGGTGAAGATGTTATTAGGATTTGACGAGGGATATTTCTTTCTCAACGTGGTTTTTGTACAAGTCTTTGGGATTTGAGAACTCAATAATCCCCGATAAACAGTTCTTCTTCTCCCCATGTATTCGTATGCTTTTCATCAATGTATGAATGTTTTTGTTCTTGTTCTTTTTCGGCATTTGGTTTCTGTGACTTGGGATTTAACCCTCCCTTGCCTCTAGATCTCTTTATCTTATTCGCATAAAATGATGCGCATAAGGGATCTCAACCTCTGATCTGTCCATATAAGTAGGCTAATTTAAAAGCTGCCATAAACTAAATTATGGAAACTTATCTCATTCTCTCTCTCCCCCTCCCTCTGAGAATGTCTGTTTTTGAAGGCAACTAAACAAGCCATTAATAGCATTCTAGAACGAATTGCATAGTACAAAGATTGAGACTAGATGCGATAATGAATTGTCTCATTTGGACTCTTCAAGATTAAAGCTGCTATCATTCTGGGATTTCAAATTTATGACTGAAGCTGGCATTCTGATTCCTTATCAGAAGTTAAGAACCTTTCCCACCCCCACTCTCTCTCTCTCTCTCTCTCTCTCTCTCTAAGCAATTTTCAAAAAATTATACCCTCCTCCTCTCCATAAATTAGGGCTAATATTTTGGAAAACAATATAGAAATCTATATGTTTTTCAAATTACTTAACAAGCTTGCTCCTTGTGGGTATATTTATGTATTTGCCCACAAATGCTACCTATATCTCATGCATGTTTAATTTCTGCTGGACTCCAAGAAATAAGATTGGAATTTTGGAAAGCTGATGTTTCATCAGACAAATACCATGCAGAAATGTTGCTGCTTCAAGAAATTTGTAAAACCTATCTTTCAAGCCAATTATACAACATCAATTGTTCTTTCTCATTTCTATTAATTTTAACAGCAAAACCCCCAAGTTATTTTCCCCATTTTTTCAGTCTGATCGTGCGCTCCCATGCTTCACCTTCCTGACATCTCTAATGGGTTCTTTTTTTTTTTTTTTTAACTTAACTAAAAGCAGACTACATGATCTAGTTTTCTGCTATATACGTTGTTGGCGTTTGTTTGAAGAACATATTCCTTCGTAGCTCAGTCAACTCTACGCCATGGAATAACTCTAATCCACACTTTCTTTCCCTTGACTCCCCCCCCCCCCCCCCCCGGCCTCCCCGCAGCCATAGGTGATGTGTTTAATCTTAACTCTTTACGTTATATCTATCTCTAACCCTGAGCTTCTGCATATACTAAACGCAATCAATAGTTTAACATTGTTGACAGGTCAAAGGAATCTACAATCTTTTTATAAATAAAAAAATTGATAAAATGTGTTGTAATATTAACTAATTAAGTTACTTTTTCAGGAAAAAAAAAAAACGAGATGATGTATGACAGCAGGGGTTTGGTTTGAGTTGGATGAAACTCATGGATAAGAAAGTTTGGTTTTGATTTTTGTGTACATATTGAGGTGGGTGTTGTGGGTCTATTGCCTAATTTGTTTGGAAACTCCGTTCGGATAGACTCCGCCCTCCTTTTCTGCTTGCTCACCGGCTTTTACGTAAACAAACAAGAAAGAAAAAGCAATACTTTAAATTTGTATCTATATTTATACCTTTCGAAGTTCTCCTCATGTCCTATCTTATGCAGGAACCTTGGAAAACAAACTTTGTGAGGTCACTTGGCCAGGTTAGTTACAAGTCCACTACCAGTGGGACCTTTCCCAAGGTGAAGCAAACCCTAAATAAATAAATAAATAAAAAGCACGAGGGTGAGTCCATTGAAAAGGCTTTAATTGTAAGTGTGACCTGTGAAACTCAAGTTTTCTCTGTACCCTTTTATGAAATTTATAAACAATTAATTTTTGAGTTCTCTACAATTCTGCTTTTACTGAGATGTCCTGATTTGTTAAAACAATTTTTTTGGGGGGCAAAAAACTAATTCCTTATAGTTCGTGAAGAATTAGTACAGAGATTTGAAAAAAAAAAAATGATTTGCCCCTGGACAAAGCAGCCGCTGACAGCAATAAACCCGCCGTAACGGTTTTCTTTCCTTGGATCAAGCAAAGTCTATTTGGATGGACCAGCGTAGTACATGCTGGAGCCTATTGGCTGTATTAGGGTTTTACTTGTATATTTATACGAGCAGCTTAACGGTCCGATTTTACAGCAACAGTTGAAGGTTTTCCGGGTTGAGCTGTGGTCCGGAAAAACCTAAAATTCTAGGCCGGTTTTCCGGTCCAGTTCCCACTTCAAAACGTTGTGTAGGCGTAGCTTAATCATATGCCTCACCACCTCGAGTCCCATGCGTGCTACCAAGTAATGATATTGCCTAAAGGCTTGGGTTGGGAGATTGCGCCTGTTAGCAAGCTCTTCTTTCAATCATTTTCTCTGGTTTTGAAGTTTCCTTAAAAGAAGAGGGTGTTGAAGTTTCCTTAAAAGGAGAGGGCGTTGAAACCAAATGCCAAGCATCTCCATTCTGAGTTAACTCGGCCGTCTCTGAGTGAGTTAACAAGGACAGTATGCTAACGAGAGTTAAAATCGGAAGTAGTTGGGTTTCATCTTCATGCACATGCTGGCATTTTCACACTGTGTCAGTACGTAATTGGTCCTTTGCGTACTAATATTTGTGATTTGTTCATTGCCAATTGACGCTTAACACGAAGACAATGACAACACGTGTGTGTGTATATATATATATATGTATGTTTGTATGTAGTTGTATGTATGTATATATGTACGGTTACCTGTCAAAGCATATTCAAGTGTCAGCACGTACTGATCATTTAGTGCCAATCCCAAATAAGCTAAAGTAATTTCAGTTAGTAAATTCTTCTTATATTGTTCCATGGCTTACTCGTTAATTTAAATATTAACTAACGATTGTGCTGGTTGCCTTCAAAAGAGGACACCCTGTAGAAATCCTCAAAGCTTAACTAAATGCCTACCAGACAACCCGAAATCTTTTCTGACAAGGCAATTCCAAGAGTCGTAATTAGTCTGTGCTCTATCACTCAGTTTTTAGAACAAGTAATTTAAGAGCCGTTCGATTGGGAATATAAGATATAGTAAGATAGGATATAGGAGAATAAATTTACATGAATTAAATAGTATTACTACATGTTTAGTTCAACAGGGAAGAAATGGGATAAAATTTTTAGAAAATAGGATAAAATTGAAAATTTACCAAAATGTCTTTCTTATAAAAAAAAAAAAAAGACAAATCCAATCCAATCGGATCGAATCGTCCTCTGTCTTCTGGATTGGGTCGTCGTCTTTGCAGACAATCGGATCGTCGTCCTCCCTCGTCCAGTCATCGTCATAGATCGGTTGAGAGCTTTGACGCTCGTGGCCCGATCCGATCTGGCAGAGGTCAGCAGACAGCTTCAACGATGCTTGTGGCTCGATCCGATCGAGCCTAACAGAGGTCCAGAACGCTACGAGTCGTCTGCCGATGCGGGCGAGTCGTCCGAGCCTGCAAGTTGTCTGATGATGCCAGTGAGGTCGATCGAGCCTGACAGAGCTCCAGACGTTGCCTTCCAGACTCAAGCCTGACAGAGCTCCAAACAATGCTGGTGAGGTCGATCTGGCCCTTTCCAAACATCGCCTCCTTCTAGCCAGTCGGCCTCTTCTACCCCGACTGCCTCTGGTTTCAATCGGGGGCATTATCGTCCGCGGACGAGATTTATCAGGGGGGATAAACTTTATTCCCCCAAAACCAACAAATAATGTTATCTCCCGGCTTCCGATACATATCTTATCCCGTTCCGTTACACACCTACCGAACGCGTATAATGATTGATACAAGTTATCATATCACCCCATATCAGCCTATCGAATGCCCCTAAGATGATTGAGACCTTAAGTCTTTTTTACTGAAAATGCAGTCATCAATTAGTTATTTTTAAAATATAGAATAATATTATTAAGATACTTTACCTTTGAAAAACAGTTCTGCAAATAAAAATGTATAAGGCCTTTGAAAGATGATTACAGATATGGTTTACAACAACAGATTTGAGTTTGGAAATTTTTTTATAGTCAAGAGAAAATATTACACATCATGATTATGCCCATTACTTGACCATATTATTTAATTTTTTATTTTAAGCTTCACCTTGAAAAAACAAAATTTCTTAAATATATGTAATGTGCACTGTCAGAGTAATGCTCAATTAACCAAATGAAAATGTAACATAATCTACTTTTATAACATAATCTTATTTATTCAATATAATAAATATATTCACATTGAGTGTCACCTGACATAGGTTGCTAGGTCATTCAATGGAAATGGGCCCATTACGATGCCCCCCGGTGGTCCATTTGTGACAAATTTTGCCCAGCATTTTTGCAATAAATTCTAATTTTTTTGAGGTGTTAAAACCAAATTAAGTATATATGCATTATATATTTGTTTTATGTGTGGCCATCGTTTGCTTAATAATTTCCAACTATTTCCCATTTCCATTCTCTCTACATCAACACCCTTTCATACGTTAGTTTTATGTATTTACATACATCAAATTTCATTACTAAAGCCAATACGTCCAACAGGATCACGCTATATTATCTCTTATCACGCTATATTATCTCTTATCAGAAGAAACATTCCAACCATATCATCTTGCTTCGCTTCCTTTATGGCAAATTTGACATATTTGCCAGCATAACAAGAAAAATTTCTAAGAACATCGAATTAATCAAGCTAATCCTGAAACCCAATTGACCATATGCTAGCTCTGTTCATGTTCTAGCAAAAGAAAATCTCTCAACTAAACTCTGCATGATGTTCTTAGGGCAACAAAGTAAAAGCAACTGTTTTCCCAAAATATGACGGTCACAATTTTATCATAGCAGCATCCAGCACCATGTTAAATGTTGAGAAGAAATGTTATTAACAGGATAAAGGCAAACCAAATCATTTTAGAGTCCTAAAATTTATGCCAATCACTTTGAATCTTTTGGCAAAGGTGTATCAGAAAACACGTATGAGATACGATATAAAGCTTCCCCAACTCTAGGCCCTGCCACCTCATTATATGGCACTGCATCAGAAATCTCTTTTAGATCATCATCACTGAGCATCACTTTCACAGCACAAATATTCTCGTCCAGGTTCTTAATTTTAGTTGTCCCTAGAGATGGAGATAGGGAAAAGAAAGAAACTTAGCCACTGAAAACAAAGCAAAGAATATAAAGAACTTTAAAATAGAACATTTGGCAGCAACTTCATTTGGCAAGTCAATAATGTCTCCTCATCTTATCAGCCTGCAACAAACATACCAAATACTTTGATGCAAATTATCATGTCCAAAATGAAACGTATATTTGTGAGTTTCTTTCTATATTGCATTGTCCTATCTATTCCCCATTCTATCAAGGGGCAAACAAGCATACAGGTAACTGAAAGAATTCCATTATGTCTGCACAGCTTAGGGTAAGGATGCATCCAGCCAGTCTCAGCAAACAGTTGGTGGTACTTCTATTTTTATTTTAATATCTATATTTTTACTCCTTGTACATGTTGAAAGCTTAAGTTTAATATCACTATGGCAGTGTGTATTTATTTAAATTGTCTAGGCTTTTTCCTGGTTCAGTCCCCTGTTGCCTTGAATTATCATCCATAAGAAATAGGAAATCCATTTATCTGAGGCAATATCCAATCCCTCTTGACCGGCCTTCCTGCAAGGAAGCATGGCCTGATTGGATTATTAGATTACTCAATTAGAAGAACCAGCATGCCTCCACACACACACACACACACACACAAGAATACTTTCTGCGAGATTGTCGCCTCACAAATTACATGCCAAAACAGAAATGGAAAGGGCAAAGGGGGCATACTTTGCAAGTAAATAAGCCATATTTACAGGAGTTGCTTACCTGGAATAGGCACCATGTCATCCCCCTGATGAAGAACCCAAGAAAGTGCAAGTTGAATAGGGGTGCACCCATTCTTTTTAGCTAAGGCTTCAATTCGAGTGTAAAAGATCTTGTTGCACTCCAAATTCTCTCCTGAAAACCTTGGATGTGATATCTGATGAAAATGATAGGTCAGTTGGAGATTCTCTAGTTCATTGAAATAGAAACAAGAGTAAAAGATAGAATGAATTTAGAGTGCTATGATTCTTTTTCGAAAATATTAATTAAATAAGATATTCAAAACATGTGGATCCACCTCCATACCAAAAAACTATTTGCAGGTATACTTTCCACAACTGCCTTGCCTCCGAAAAAACCACGAGCAGTAGGAGAATATGGAACAATGCCAATTCCAAGTTCCCTGATAATCAAATCACGGATCACAACTATTCCATATGAGATGGGGAAAGAAAGAGAAAGGAACTTCAAAGAAGAAAAAATGAACTTCTGCAGATAATAAAGGAAAATTTACAATATGTTTTCAGAAGATCATTTTTTAATCCTAGGAAACAGGTTTATACATGTAAACTTACTTTAGCACATCAAATTCACATTAATTTGAGCATGACTCTTAGTCAAAAATTATATATAAAAAAAGGATGGTGGACCTAGATGGAAAAAAAATTTGAAGAACTGTTAACAAACCTGCAAACAGGGATTATTTCTTCCTCAATGTCACGAGTAAAAATAGAATATTCCATTTGTAAGGCAGTAACAGGATGGACAGCGTGAGCTCTCCTTATTGTGTTTGGGTTTGCCTCAGATAAGCCTACATATTTTATTTTACCCTCTTCCACCAACTTTTTAAGCTCTCCCATCTGCCAATCCAGGAGAAAATTACAACTTCATCAGCAGCACTTAGACCTAGGAACATTTGGATCCAACAACAGAGAATTCTAAACAGAAATTAGTAGACATATGATCCACATTTTTCAAACAGATAAATATATTAATTATCTCAGTGAAAAGGAAATAGAGAATAAAGATGCTTTACAGTCTCCTCTATAGGTACTGATGTGTCAATCCGATGTATATAATAGAGATCAATATATTCCACACCAAGCCGCATCAAGCTGGCCTCACAGCAGGAATGGACGTATTCAGGAGTGCCTTTCACCACAATTTGGGGACCTCCACCTCTGAAAAAACCAAATTTTGTGGCTAGCTCAATCTTGTCACGAGGCAACTGCTTTAGTGCCTGCAAGGTTCAGGGCCAGTCCATTAAATGAAAAGGCACCCAATCATTGTGGAAAGGTTTATCTCAAGAAATATCAGAAATATAAAAAAAAATCAGAAAAAAGTACTGAGAAAATGGTCAATAATAAATTAAGTGGAAATCAAGAACTGAAAATAGTTCAGCTGCAAATCAGCAACACTCAAAGAATCACCATTCTTAGAAGTTGATTACTACCCCTCATTTCACACTTTTTCTGAAAATGAAAATTGATTCTTTTTACCTCAAAATTTCTTGTTTTGTTTTATGTTTCATTTATTCCAATGTTGTATCCATGTTTCTTTTTCTTTTTAAATTTTTGGGGGATCCAGAAAACATGGGAATACAACAATTGTAGATGTTCCAACCTTACACTGTCATCTGATACCCTGTACTTGAGAGAGAGAGAGAGAGAGATGACCATTCTTTACGGAGTTTTAATGTGTCAAACCCTTTCTGTAGATGCTATCCCACATGGTAATTTTTAAAATTTATGTATGAGATACAGGATCCAATATTTGTAGCTGTGCCTTCACCCAACATCCACATTCAGCAATTCAAGTTTCCCGCATTACTAGCATAACTCTCTGTTATGCACGACATGCTTTGTAGCACCTTAAACACCATTGTGCGTTAAAAAAATGAAATTATATAATTAGCTATATTTCTATCTCCTTGGAAATTGCAATTCGACAGATCTAACACTTGGATGCATACCCATACCTGAAACTAACACCCAAGTCCATGTAACATTGGACATTCACTCATATACTCAAGTCACAAACCTTGAGGCCAATCACTTGAAGTTGCAAATATCACATCTTTTTTTAGTCAGTTCTACTTTTCCCAAAGCACAACCTTGATAAACATGTGTATGGTGGCATATCAAATAATTATGCAGCATAAAAGCTGAATTTAATTCAAATACAAAAGGAACAATACAATTTGCTGCTTTAGAGAAATATGGCCCCCTTTAGAACCCCAAATAGGGATAATAAAAATAATAATAATTAGGGTAAAAAACACTCCCCTCCTTTTAGGTTTACTTAAATGACACTCAAACCCATTTCTGTAATGAAAAAATATTTTCCGCTTTTGATAAACTGTTACTTAACGTTTTTGTTAAAAAAGACGTGAAAGTAACCCAATTTCGCATATTTTGATTACCAATCTTATTAAAAAATAAAAATATTATTTGATTTTCTTATTTTTTTAAATTTTTTATTTTTAATTTTTAAAAAATTAACTTTTGATAATTTAATTTTATTTTTTTAATTATTAAATAATTTTATTTTATTATATTTTTATTTTTATTTTAAATACTAAAATGAGAATGGTTGAGTGTTATTTAAGTTTAAAAAAAGGGCTGAGCATCATTTAAAATTAAAACAAAAAATTAAGTAAAATAAAAATTTTAAAAATAGTAAAAATACGTTATCAAAAGGTTAGATTTTTTATTTTTTAAAATTTTAAATTTTTTAAGTAAAATAAATATTATTTTAATTTTTAATCAAATAGATAACCTAAGCAACAAGTAAAATGGGGTTACGCTCATCTTTTCTTAACAAAAATGTTAAACAACTGTTAGTCAACAGTTAATCAAGATTGAAAATGTTTTTTCATGACAAGAATGAGACTGAGTGACATTTAAGTAAACTTGGAGGGAGGGGAGTGTTTTTTACCCTATAATTATTGTATAATAATAACAATAATATAATAATTGTTTGAGCCCACAAGAAAGAATTTGGATAAAAGACATCCATTTTGTATGAATTTTTAAATATTGATCTAATATTGCAAATGGGCCAGAAGAAAGACATTCCATTTGGTAACCTAAAAAATGAAAATAGCAAGACAACAATACTACCAGCAATCTTTCTATATATCAAACTTCTCAAGCACATGTCAAAGCTCACTATTGCAAACACTAGAATACATAAATTGGTCCATCAAAAATTTGCTAAAATAATTTTATCATTAGTGGGAAAAAAATGCAACTAAATCAATTGAAAGAGTATGACTACTACAAAGAATGTGCTATGGTATAGTATTTAATTTCTTCAACAACTTTATTAATGAACATGATCTTCCTATTATACATGAGGAGCTTGTATATTTATTCAAACAAAATTTGAATTAAAAATGATTCAATTTCTTATCCTGATATCTTTGATTCCATTTGTTCCTCTGTTGCTATGATAACTTCATCTTTCAAGTTTCATGATTATCCAAAATTCAGGGATACCACCTAAACTGAAAAGCATGTCCTTACGCAATTACCTTCCCTAGCAATATCTCATTGGCATGGTCTATACCATATATATCAGAGGTGTCGAAGAATGTGATTCCCTTACTGAATGCATACTTTATTATTTCAATTCCATCTTCTTCTGGAAGAGGAGAATTGTAAACTCCAGTAAGCCCCATGCAACCATAGCCCAGTTTGGAGACCTGCAAGACAAAGGGTTTTAGAATTTTATAAGAATGAAAACATGTAAGTAGCAAGTATCTCATCCCAAGCCGTAGTTTAACAAACTAAAGCTTCCGAGAGACACAATAAAGATAGAATAAAAAAACCCATAACCCTCTCTTTGCAGCAGGATTTTGAGGTATTTAGCAGCACCTTGAAAGTGCACAACTTGCTTCCTTGGTAAAATACCAAAGCAGAACATAGGAAAGAGCAGAGAAATACAAAAAAGAATAGCCTAAAAGGCCTTTGTCCCCAATCATTGGTAAGTTATCAAAGCACAACATAGTAAAGAGCAAAGAAGGATAAAAAAGAATGGCCTAAAAGGCCTTTGTCCAAAATAGCTTTTTAAACACATGTAAATAAAATTTCCCATTATGTCGTTCATTCCTTAAAGATGATTAATTTCCAACAGAACAAAAGAAGTGCCTCTTGGCTCTCGGGCCAACCCAAGTTACCAAACACACAGCCAGTCTACCAGCTACAAAATAAATAAATAAATGAACTCTAATTTTGCATTTAAATGAACTATCTACAAGTCAACCCACCCTCCCCCCCAAAATAAATAAATAAACAAATAAATCAAAAAAATACTGCAGACATGGTAAACCCGCCTTTCACAAGACAAATTAAGGACTCTAACATATAATATACAATCAACCTCCCAGCCTTCGTCAAACCAGGCCTCCATCCACACATACGTGTGAAAAAAAAAATGGAACATTGCATTACACACTTTATTCTTTGAAGCCAGGAAATCACACAACAAAACCAACACGAATACGTATCCTCTGTAAAAGTAAAAGATGGCATCTCCATTTGGTTGCAGGGGTGAATGAGTTATATTCACACCAAGAACTTCAATAGTTGAGAATTAAAATCCACCCAAAAAAAAATGTATGCATTATGGACAAAATATAATGCGCGGTCCATTTGGCGACCTAAACAATCCCCACTGAATATCAGCTATCGTAAAAAGCCATTTGAACTTTGAATAAGAGTTCTCCTCATCATGCTCATAGGAATTATTAACATGTCATTCCTATTTAAAACAGGGTCCGACCTTTGAATTGTTGATCAATGAATAAGTGAAAATTTATATTAACTTCTAGGAGCCAATCTGATGGCCCAAAACCCACCCGACCCTTCGGCATGTTTCAGGCAGGTCGAGAGGATCGAAACCACACGAAAGCGCTTCTACTAACAATGAAATTCAATGTTTAACTTGTTCAAATTTATGTTTAATGCTGACGTGTTTACTGTTTGCTTGATCTGTTTGTAATAAACCCAACTTCCATGGAAGTTAAGAACTAACACCCGTTACAGGGGAAGCCAACTTGCAGGGAATTGAAATTACTAGTTGTCAAGTTCAATATTGCATTTATACAGAATAAGTATGATATTGCAAAGATGTGAAAAAATTGGGAGATAGAAAAGGGATGCCGCCGAGTTTACCTCCAAACCCTGGCTTCCCAACTTCACTCTGGGCATATGAAATTCAGCCATTTCTCTTCAACCCTCTGCCTCTCGGATTTGCAATTTACTCAGCTATATAGGTTGCCGAGTGTTAGGGCTTTGGCTTCTCAGCCGGTTCAAGTAAAAGCCGAAGTACCGTGCTTCTGAATTTTCGGCAATGCTATCCGCACATTAAATAGGGGCTGTTTTTTCGAGTATCACGAAAAGAAAACAAAAGGGAAAATATTATATTTTAAATTATGATAAATTGCATAGTAAAAATTTGAAATAAAATTATTAAAGAAAAATCTGCGTTAAATGGATTTAATATTTCAATTAAAACATTCCTTGTAATGTCAAGAAAAAATATTTTTAAATATTTTAAAATAATATAAAATAAATTATTAATTAATTCTAAAAAGGAAAATGTTAGTTTTCACTTACCTACCCTCTCTCCCTCCTACCATGGACTTCTTGCCCACCTACCTCTGAATGTACTCGCCATCACTTGCAACTCAACTAAGGGGGCGTTCGGTTTGGAGATAGATATAGATTGATATGGTAAGTAAGATCAATTTTATCCTATTTGTATAATAATCATATATTTATCATACGTTCAGTTCACCTGATAACAATTCAGATAAAAAATAAATTACCAAATTACCCTTCCCTCACAGCTTTCCCTTTCCTCTGCTCTCTGGCCGATGACTGGCCTGTGCGTAGATCAGGTGCCCGTGTGAGCTCCGGTGTTCATGTTGCTCTTCGGCCAGCGACTAGCCTACACGCAGATCAAGAGCCTGTGTCCGCTCACGCTGTGCACAGATCCGCAGGCACCACGCCTGTAGAACTACAGGTGCCCGAAGCAGACGCCTGCGGATCCGTAGGCGCTGGGCGCCTGCAAATCTACAGGCGCATGAAGCAAGCGCCTGTGGCGTGAGCGCCTACAAATCTGCAGCCCCTGGGCGCCTGTAGATTTGCAGGCGCATGGAGCAGGAGAGGAGAACGGGGGGTGACGGTGTGAGAAGAGGAGAGCGGCGGCAGTGGTGAGGAGAGGAAAGGGTTGGCAGGGACAAAATTGTCCAAAAAAGTTTTTCACGCGTGAAAAAATTTTACATGCTCAGTACCTCTGGATAAATTTTTCACGCCTATGCTGATAAGTCAGCTGTCCAGATTTTTATTACGTCACGTTTCACTCGTAACGAACGCGTGATAAGGCTTATAAGGTAGGATAAGTTTTATCTTATCTTACCTTCTCAGCCCATCCGAACACTCCCTAAGGGGAGAAATTTAGTTTGGTCCCTCAAGTTTAAGCTCAATTGCAAAACCATACTCGTGGTTTTAATATTTTTGCAATTTCATCATTTTAATAAATTTTTGATAATTTTTTTTGCCAAAATATTTAAATTATGTTTGTAAAGACTAATATACCCCTTTTTACATTGTAACAAATGCCCAAATAAGATATAAAACCAATCGTATTTAAAACTTAATTTATATTACATCTAAAACCTGATTTATTTATTTACTATTAAATAAATAATAACTTTTTATATAACAAATTTTAATAATCTCAAATATTATTAAATCAACAATCAAATATCAACAATTAATTTCATGGTTATCAAGTTATTCTCCCCTTCAAAATCAATTCTATTCAATTTGAGAGAGAGTTTAAATTAAAGACTTCATTTTAATTTTAATTTTAGTTTTTTACAAAACTAATTAAAACTAAGTTCAAATAATTAAAAATAATTTCCACAAATTAAAATTTCCAACACTCACAATTTAAAAGTTATATTGAAGAATAATATTAATTAGTAAAGTGTAACATTTTATATGAAAAATAAATAATATATATGTAGCTCCCTCAATAGTAGTTAGCCATAGAGATTGTCGAACACTTGAAGGCAAAATGCAGAGATTGCTTAACCATTTCATTTGCTTCTTTCTTATAGTTTTGCACAATCTACAAACCCCTAATTGACTTTCAAATCATAAGAATGAAAATAATCATGATTAGGGACTTCCTCTAGAAAATTAAACACACTTTTAACTATTTATTTTTACTTAAATTTATAACTGTCTATTGGGTATCAATAAATGATAAATGACGTAGTATAACACTACTTCCCAGAAAAATTTTGAACTTATGTACGTTCAATTACCTTGTTTCTTCCAATATACAAATATCATACACAGCAAAACTAAAGATTTTTTATTTTATTTAATTACCAATAATATATTATTTATTTTTCCATAGAAAATGTTACGCTTTACTAATAAATATTATTCTTCAATATAACTTTTAAATTGTAAATGTTAGAATTTTTAATTTGTGAAAATGATTTTTAATTATTTGAACTTGGTTTTAATTAGTTTTGTCAAAAACTAAAATAAAAATTAAAATAAAGTCTCCAATTTAAACTCTCTATCAAATTGAACATAGCTGATTTTGGAGGGGAGAATAACTTGAAAACCATGAAATCAATTGTTGATTTAATAATATTTGAGATTATTAAAATTTGTTAGATAAAAAGTTATTATTTATTTAATAGTAAATAAATAAATCAGGTTTTAGATGTAATATAAATTAAGTTTTAAATATGATTGGTTATATATCTTATTTAGACATATGTTATAATGTAAAAAGGGGTATATTAGTTTTTATACACATAATTTAAATATTTGATAAAAAAAATTATCAAAAATTTACTAAAATGATGAAATTGTAAAATATCAAAATCACAGGAATGGTTTTGCAATTGGGCTTAAACTTGAGGGACCAAACTAAATTTCTCCCCTCAACTAAGGCTGTGCTTGATCTTTTATGGAGGAAAGAAAAAAAAAAGAGGGATGCAATAAAAAGGAAAATAAAAAAAAAGTAGTAGTATAAACAGATGTTTGTATTCTTTTTTAAAGTATTTTTGGGATGGTTCAAGTTTTTTTAAGTTTCAAAAAAAATAACAATATTCTCTTTGCCTTCATACTAAATTTTTATTTGAAAAAAAATATATCTATTATTTTTATAGGTTTTGTAAGAGAGAAAAAATATATTATTTTTTATTAATAGATTATAAAATTATCTTTATTATTAAATTTTATCAAAAAAAAATTAACTGTATTCAATTAAGTTCTCACAAAATTTATTTATATTTATTTCTATTAACCTTTCTTTATTTTCTTTTGTTTCATATTGCATCCTTTTTTTTCCTTTCTCCTCTGTAAGACAGGATAAGGCAGGTTTTGAAATAAAGTATATTGACCATATAGTGATTTAGATAATTATCTTGTTAAACAGAGGTGGTGGAAGTGGCAGTTAGGAGTGGTATTAAGGGTAGTATTATCCAAAGAAATTGGGTAGGGGTCGGATAAAATTATCCTAGGCCTCCTCCTAGTATAATTTATCCAAATTTGACTTTACTATTATCCAATCTCTCTCATGCTCGAACTTTATCCAATCCTGCCTTATCTTGCTTACTAAACATGAATCTAAATAGAATAAGGGTGAATAAACAATCATTATCCACCCTTATCTCATATACCAAGCGATCTCTTAGTTTACAGTTTATGGCCACTCTTCCCCTGGTTTAAGCTAAGCCGCCATGCTTTGTTGTGTGAAAGGGCATTTTGATTGTCCCCATTATAATGTTTTTGTTACACCCCAAAACCAAGTATGTGGCTGATACTAAAGCTGAATCATCAACTTCAGCAAACCTCAAATATAATAAAATATTATAATTTAAATAAATCAAATATAATATCAGACACACATATAAATAAAAGAATTTTGTTTGAAAAATAAATAAAACAATTCTAAAGTACAACCAGAGATAAACAATGTTGCCCATACTTAGGCTCGAGCTCGTCAGAGAAACTATGTACATGTTTAGTGATTGCATACAAGAAGACAAACCAATGCTATAATCTGAAAAATATTAAAAAAGAGATGAGTACAAAATTTAGTGAATAATAATACAAACCTAATTTTAATGAAATATGCATCGTAAAATGTGTCAAACCATATTAAAATTTAGACAGTAAGCAACTAAAGTATATCATCAGAAACTATAATATATGCCTCGTAATACTCAAAATGAGGTGGACCATTTGAACAGAATAGCATCTCAATGACAGAGCATATTTGCCAAAGGCATCACATACCAAAATAGAACCGCATTAGAACTCTTTTCTCACAATAGAGTGTATCATGTCAGATGCATTGAATATCACATTCCAGAATAGAATTTTTATCAATAGATTGTATCATATCACTGGCTAAGCACCTCAAGCAAAAGGTATCCTAGATAGAACTATTATAGACCAGACATATATCTCTCACTATATATATAAAATAAAGTTTATAAAGGAGGCATACTTCAAACAAGCAGTTAAATCAGACACTAAACAGATAGAGGTATTTCCTATGCATTATCTTTTTGAACTCCCATGTAACTCCCTCAGTGAGCTGATTCCTCTATAATGCTTTTATAGATAACACATCTTTGGATCGAAGTTTCTTTACTTTTTTGTCTAAATGGCCATGGGCCTTTCCTCGTATGTCAAATTTTGATTTAATTGAACATTT